CTTTCTTTCAGAACGTTACAGTTTATTCCTAAAACACATAATTACAACCGATCAAAGTAGGAATGGGAGGCCTACTCAATGTAGCCTAAATGATTAAATAGTATTTAAAATCTAATGATTAAAATAGACGTGATTCAAAATTATGAGAGAAATTATTGAAAATGATAAATAGTTAAAAATATGTGAGTTTGATGAATATTAAATATAGTGGTTGATGTGATGTGTAAAAATAATTGATTAATATAATTTTTTTTTATTATTATTTGATTCATTGATATTATTTAATTACATCTTTAATAGAGTTGAGTTAGATTTTAAATTAAATGATGTAAAAAGTTACATAGTCAATACAAATTTTTTGATTTTAATATGTACCCAATCACGTACCCACAATGAGTTGCGTAGATTACTATTGAATTGCTCATAAGAATTTCTAAATTTGTAAATTTAAATACAAAAAATTAAATCTAAAGATACATTACATTTAATTATGAATAAGAATGCATAAATTTTACCTACATTGCATTAATGAAACAATAAAGCTCCAAAATTTATAAAATAGCCAATTTATATATGACTGTAAAATTTTAGAATAAAATGAGTAATTGAGTGTTGTACAATTATAAAAATAAATATTATTAGTATTTTCCTTTATCAAAACTCTATATAAGTATTGAAATTATATTTATATTAATATAAGTACCTAATATGAAATACCATCCCTAAGGAAATAAACAGGTCGACTAGGTCGAGCGAGTCGTCCGGTCGAGCAAAACCGCACCAGGGCTGGTAGTGGTCGAACGTCGCTATCTCAGGACTAAGAGCCTTTCAAGACAACATGAGGGGTACATGGCAGCAGGTCGAGCTAGGGCCCTCTAATGGCCTGATAGAAACTCGACATGTAAGCACAGCTAGTCGTATGATCGACCAGAAGAGCAACACTTCGTCCAGGACAACCAGTATTTTACCTCGGCAGACCTCGAACGGGTTGCACTATTGAGTGGTCTAATACGAATGATTAAGTGATACGAAGGAACTTTCCATAATTTGTGCTACACCTGGCATTACTTGATTGGTTCGCATTCTGTAACCACCTATGACAGTGGGCAGTGTGGACTGTACTATCGGGCAACTCGGGCAGCTTGGGCAAGCTGCTCACCACATTCAGGCAGCCTTCTAGAAGCATGTACCTCACCCCTATAAATATGGGTGAGATATGAGATTTTAGTGAACTACGTTACATATACTCTATATTTTCTGAAACTCATCTCCTACACATACTTATTGAAGCATCGAAGGCTCTTCACCGAAAAACTCCTCCGGTTTGAGAATTTTTTACATTCTAAGGGCGTTAAATCGACAGACGAACTCAAGAGCAGACCGATCCTATTATTTTTGTTTTAGTTAAATGGGTCAAGCCAAACTTCATCCACCAGTTCACACTCTATGTTAAGTAGATTTGACGGATGAATTTGATTATTTTGAATTCTATAGATGTGGCGCAAGAAAAGTTGTTAACCAATGTTGAGCGACAGAGGATACACCTCACAGGCTCATTGCCTGTACACTACGTGAGCGATACAAGGAATCGAATCTCCACTGTCTTCGCGATTGTGTAGGGGCAACACAGGTTTGGCGGTGCTTGATTCCTGCTAACTAATACCCCGAGTCCTTTAACATGCAGCTGTAGGATTGGTTGCTCCGGAACCTGCAAAATGGTTTGAATATTGGAGTCCTTCGTTGGAAAACTATTTTTGGAGTCACTGTGTGGCAAATCTGGAGTGGAAGAAATGAAAATATTTTTGCAGATGAGGAGTTTGATGTCGCAAAGAAAGTTTGTGATGTTTGCTCATTTGTTCATGGAATCAAAATAGCCACCTCTGCCGAGAAACACCTGAGCGGTCTCGGGGTGGGACGTCAAGTACAATTTATTCGTTGGGAAGCTTCTGGAAGTGGAGTTGTCAAAATTTACACGTATGGGTCTTTTTTGGCTTCGTCTGGGATGGAATCCACTGGGGGTTTGGTTTGTGATGCAGAGGGTCGTTGGCTCGGGGGGTTTGTGATGAATATTGGCCTATTGGGTATTGTTCTATTCTAGGAGCAGAGTTATGGGGCCTTTTCCAAGGATTAATGTTAGCCTGGGACTTGGGGTGTCGTAAAATTATCGTGGAAGTAGACAACAAAAGTGTGGTGACAACGGCGAAAGAGGGCTTAACGAAAAATCTTGTAGTGTATGGTAGCTTGGTTCGTGTCATCCAGGACGTGCTTAACCGGGGCTGGGAGGCTAATGTGATTCATTGTTATAGATAAGCTAACTTTGTTGCCGACTGTTTGGCGACTTTAGTTCATTACTGTCCTAGTGATTGTCAACGATTATTAGACCCACCATTTGTAGTTAAACCGTGGTTACAACATAGCATGACCTCATTGGCATTGCTTACCCGCGCAACAAAGTTTCATGAGTTTTATCCTTCTTTATTTGTACAAAATAATAATAATAATAATGTACAAAGTAAAAAAAAATCCATAAAAAATAAAACCAAATCTCCTATCACTATTCTAAAAGCAAACCAAATATTCTCCAAATAACATCATCGTTATTCACCTCCTAACACAACCTA